AAATTCCGGATCAGGATATATATATATATATATATATATATATATATATATATATATATATATATATATATATATATATATATATATATATATATATATATATATATATATATATATATATATTTATATATATATATATATATATATATATATATTTATATATATATATATTATATATATTTATATATATATATATATATATATATATATATATATATATATATATATATATATATATATATATATATATATATTGGGGTAACATACATTGGGTATATATTTATATATACAAATTGCAGTTACAATTGCCTGGTTCTCAAATCGATTAATACCTTGGTGCACCCAATCTTGTTATGCTTAGCCAAACTTAAATGAAGATACGTACGTTCCATTAATGTAAGACGTCTGGTGCTCATCTGGGTAACCAACAGTTTCGTTGTTCTTCTGAGGAAGAACAATTCATTTGTATGTTTTTTACCAGTATGCTTTATAAAGAATAAATTAATTAAGACATGTTATGGTTTCACCCTTCTTTCCCCTTATCGATCTGGTCAATGGAAAACCTAACCCAATGCCTAGTCCACTCTGCACGCTACCTAACGAGCTACATGCTGTCCAGAGGGGGTCTGGTGGCAGCGACCCTTAGAAATTAAGATTAGAGTTAAGTATTTACCCTTAGTATTAGTGACCCCCAGTCTGGCAGTATACCAGTGCCCTACGTAAATGAATGGCGCCAGTACCGATGAGCAGCCTATCAATATAGAATACCAAGTACTTTACTTGGCACCTGGGACGACAGTGGTACCGCGAACAGGGCTGCTAGATCATTCATGAAAGCAGACGACATGAACCAACCAAATGTAAACTCCCAGGATAGTTAGACTAGCATTCCAGGTTTTATCAGGTTTGACTGAGTTACTTAGAACCATTTCAGGTTAGGTTTAATTGGTTTGTAACAAGTGTAAATAAATTAGTTAGCGGAGCAGTTTGTGGTCTTTTTTTTTCAGTCTGTCTTGTATATAAAGGACCAGTAACATACCAATCAGTATTGTAATCCTGCCTGAATCCTCCACATCTCAGGTCGGGCTACAGCTTCGGCTCCTTCACGGCAGAGGCGTCAAAGTTCTTGCCAGTGCTGTTGGAAGAAGTGAAGGCGCTAGGAGGCCAGGTCGAGGTAGGACGGCGATTGAACTCTCTGAAAGAAGCGGCGGTGAATGCGGACTTGGTCGTCAACTGCAGCGGTTTGGGTGCTAGACACCTCGTGCCTGACCCAGACGTCTACCCCTGCAGAGGTCAGGTCATGAGGGTCAGTATCTCAGCAGAATCAGCTTAAAAACGTTCTCACACCTCCAATAATGGCGAACAAAGCTTGTCAGTAAAGGTGACCAAGTACAGTCAACTACTGAAATTGAAATATTTACAGTCAACTACTAAAATCCATCCACCTGTTCCACTGAACCACGAACCCCGAGATTTCGGAACCGTGAATCTGAAGCATTTGTGGACAAGAATGTACACAGTCTACTGCTTCAGGTTCAAGAGTCTGGTGGATCTCGTGGTTGTAGTTCAGAGGTGGGGGAGGGGGGGACAAAATATTGAGTAAACGACAGAAATTGTCGATTAAGTCCCTATAAGATTATAATTATTATTATTATTATTATTATTTGTATTAGATTATTATTATTATTATTATTATTATTATTATTATTATTATTATTATTATTATTATTATTATTGTTATTACATTTTCGCCCCCCATGCCCCGATGTGGGTCAGTGACCTGTGCCCGGGTGGGCTAATCCCCGTAAAAAAAAATTATATATATATATATATATATATATATATATATATATATATATATATATATATATATATATATATATATATATATATATATATATATATATATATATATATATATATATATATATATATATTCGTTAACGAACACAACTGCCTAGCAGGTTGTTCAGCAACCTAAAAAATTGTTAATCCCAACCATTGTTTCAATGGATTTTGGGTACTGGTTCCAGCTCACCGAAAATTGCCTAAATTCAACAAAATGGTAGAAAAGTTCACTTACTTTGGAGGTGTGTATGTAGAAGGCCCTGACAGATGATGATGATGATGACATGATGATGATGATACGATGATGGGAAATTAGAATGTGGAGGAGAAGGAAGAAGAGAAGGCATTGGGTGGAAGAGAATTCACCCATGGCACCATTTCTCATCCATAAAATTTAGTTCTCTTGGTGTAATTCAAGATTATTTTCTTTAAATCAACACTGCACTGCATTATATATTGTCAATATGTAAAATATATTTCAAAATGACCAATAATTTGCTTGGAAACACAGAAAAAAAAGCGTTTAGTTGAAGAGAGTCTCAAGCAAGATGTTACATCCAGTGAAAACAGAGAAAGACTAACTCCTGTTTGCTGTGTTAAGAGGCTGGATGCCGCGCATTAAACTAGTCACTTTACCTTCAATTATGTTCAATAATTGTTAAAATGACTAAAAAATTGAATATTAAACTTTTAAAATTATTGAATAGTATAAACTTCTTGATATTTACTAAAATAGTAAGGAATTTAAGCCCTAGAACCGATTAATGTATTGGCGGACTAATACTAAAGCTGGTTGACCGGCCAGTGCAAGCGAAAACATGTTGAGGTCGGCTCGTAAGAAATTCGTTAACCGAATTTTTGTTCGTTAACCGAATTTAAGAATCTTATGGGAGGCAGTTCGTTAACCTAAATTCTCAAGTAACCTATATGCTCATATATATATATATATATATATATATATATATATATATATATATATATATATATATATATATATGTATGTATATATATATATATATATATATATATATATATATATATATATATATATATATATATATATATATATATATATATATATATATATATACTGTATATATATATATATATATATATATATATATATATATATATATATATATATATATATATATATATATATATATATATATATATATATATATATATATATATATATATATATATATATATATATATATATATATATATATATATATATATATATATATATATATATGCTGATAACCACAAGGAAGGAAGAAAACACGAAGTTCCCAAGCGCTTTCGTGTAATTCACATCTTCAGGGGTGAGTACAGATTAAAGAGAAGTACAAAATAAGGTGTATATATACAGGGGAGGGTGAGATCAGGTCCACAATGGTCAGGTATTAGGTAATGACCCTACTAATCTTTAAATAGCACGGCAACGGTCGGTAGTCAGGTCAGAGGGTAAGGTGACCCAACCTTCTCACCTGGTTACAAATCTTCTTAATTACAAAATTGTCCAGTTTGTACATGCCATTACTCTGTATATATACACCTTGTTTTGTACTTCTCTTTAGTCTGTACTCACCCCTGAAGATGTGAATTACACGAAAGGGCTTGGGAACTTCGTGTTTTCTTCCTTCCTTGTGGTTATCAGCATATACCTAGATCACGTGCAACTACAGTGATTTACTTGCATATATATATACTATATATATATATATATATATATATATATATATATATATATATATATATATACATACAGTAGTACCCCGATTTACGCGGTCAATTGAACCCACAGGGTACCGCGGAAAATGAAATCCGCGTAAATGGAACAACAGAACATATGGGATTAATTCCAATACACACTGGCCCGACCCCCAAACTCCACTTTTTCCGACACAATACCTATGTTGTAGTAAAAATAACATTTAAATTTTATGATGGTATTGTAGTGGACGTCTCCCCTACAACTGCTACAACTGCGTAGCAGCTCACCACCTGCTATCACATTCCAATGTGCCGCCTTCCCTAGCAACCAACCAGATGTTACCGTATCTTAGCAACGAAACTATTCACCGGCTACTTCTCGGGTTTTCCCACCATGACTCATGGCGGCTGCTGCGGGGTATATAAGCTCTGTCTCTCCATTGAGATTCATTCTGACCATTCTTCTTGAACAAGCAACACCTCCTCCTCTGCCGCTGCCTGGCGACCCTCGCCTCTCCTCCGCCTGCCTGGCGGTCCTCGCTCCCGCCAGCGAGCATGTCCTTCTCTGAGCTTCCTCACCAACCAACTCTCATTCTGCCCATTTTCCTGAACAAGCAACATCTCCTCCAGCAAGCTCCAGCTGTCCAGCATTCATTCAATCAGGAGGCCAGCAACAGGCAACATCTTCTCTAACGAAGCTCCTGCACATCTACCTCCTTCAACAAGCTACTCACCGCACGTCTCTACCAAGCAGCCCCTCACCACACAGCACCTCCAGCACCAGACTGTCTATCATATAACTTATATATTATACAAGAAAACCACATTAGAGTTTCCTTCCATCCTGAGTGCTAGACAACATTAATATCTCGATACCCCTACAACAGTGTCCTATGTGTGGAAATTGTTTGCTTAACAAAAAAGACAACAATTCTTTTGTCTGTAAATATAGGTGTACAAGATCGCCCAGCTGTATCCTCCACCATAGTAACAGGTAAGCTCCAAAAGTGGTTAGGTTAGGTTAGATTTTGTTGTGTGTGTTTTTTCGTGTAATTAGCGGTTTATTCTACAAATGAAAATGTTTTTTTCTTCTTAGAGACCGCTTATTTGCACCAGAAATGAAGGTCAGATTTTCTTTACTGTACTTACTTTTAACTTTCATCCTCTTCCCCACTGATCGGCTCGTTAGCTGCTTGGGCGATCGGTTACGTCTCTGTTAAGCACTGTTGGCAAGTACTGGGCATGCACCAGCTCCTGAATGTATCTGAACCTGCTCCAGTGCTTATCCAGTCTGGTCATGAAAAAGCTTACACTCAGTGCCGTCACAACACTCTCTGGCAGATTGTTCCATGAGTTCACAATTCTCACTCCGAAAAAGTTACCCCTCACAGTTTTCTGGGCTTGGAGCTTCTTCAACCTTGAGCTGTGACCCCTTGTGGGCGAGCGTCCGCCAGCTCCAGGTAAGGGCACTTGACTGAGTAGTGCCCTTTGAGATGCTTTCACTATAAGGGAGCGTGTCTTCCAACACCTACATCACCCTTATCTTACTTATTTCTCTTGTCTAGTTCTTACTCTTACTCAGTTCCTTCACATGTTCTTTTTACTTACTTCACTGGTTACTACATTATGCTGCCAGACTGGGCGGTCATTAATACTAAGGGTAAATACTTAAACCTAATCTTAATTTCTAAGGGTCACTGCCACCAGACCCCCTCTGGACAGCATGTCACTCGTTAGGTAGCGTGCAGAGTGGACTAGGCATTGGGTTAGGTTTTTCATTGACCAGGTCGATAAGGGGAAAGAAGGGTGAAACCACAACATGTCTTAGTTCTTTCAAATGTTCCTTCTACTCACTTCAGTTCAATTTTGGTACTACCTAACCACAGTTCTTCTTGGTAGCATGTCTATGGTCTAGGCACATGGGTAGTGTAATTCTGGTATCAGGGTCACTTGGATGGAAATAAAGGTAACTACTGTGGGAGAAATGAATACTCCTAAAATTCTCAAAGAACAAGTTTATTAATATAAAATCAAAGGGGAAAATAGATGTTATTAACATATAACTACCAGGCTCAACTCCTGGGCCTATTGCAAACTCTGTATTTCTTATGTACTTGTTTCCTTATTTTCCTATTTACTCAACAGCAATTATTCAGACATTACACTCTTACCTTGCACACAATACCTGGTGTCACCTTACATTACATCGCAGGGCCAGTTCCTTGTTCTTCCTCCCAATACACTAATACTGATACAAACACCAACATGGGTCCCCCACCCAACATGGGGTAATTATTAACAACACATACAACCACACTGTGGACCATAACTCCAAGGCCTGTCCCAGGGTATAGCACTGGCGCCTCTAACAACTGCTGTTGTGGTCGGTTACACTCCGACTCGAGGTGGGTTTGGGGTCCTCGGCCCACGAGGTAGAGTAGAGCCGATTAATCATGCCGAATCAGCGCCATCACTCCTATATTGACCACTGCTGGGTATCCACCGGTTCTGAGTGACCGGTGGGTTTCAATTAAGCCCACCCTCGATCTGGGAACGAAGGTGAAAGATGATATGGGAGGTTTTTTGGGGGGGAAGCATAGTGGGTCACAAACAAATCTTCAGTCTCGCCACGTCAGATAATTTACATTATATTACTTCTTACACTGGGTGAATGACAATTCCACTGTTAAAGCATGAACACTGATGAACACTGATTTTCACTACAATAGACTGAATCAA